GTAACTACTCTAATCACCTGCTTCTGAAAAAAGCAGCAATATAAATGAAAAAGTCAGAAAGGTAGGGGCCAGCTTTGTGGCGCAGTGGGTTAAGCCACACCTATGACACCAGCATCCCATATGGGAGCACAGCTCCCTGCTAATGAGCCCAGGGAATGCAGCAAGAGATGGCCCAAGTTCTTGGGTCCCTGCCACCCAAATGGGAGGCCTGGATGGAGTTCCTGGCTCCTGGCTCTGGCCTGGCCCAGCCCCTACTGCTGCAAGCACTTCAGAGTGAACCAGTAGATGGAAGATTTCTTCTCTCTCTGTCTCTCTCTCTCTCTCTCTGTGTCACTCTGCAATTCAAGGAAATAAATCTTTTTTGAACTGGTATGACAAATATTTGGCCCAAATGGATTTTTTAAATGTACTGCTGACAGTAGAGACTCCTGATCTTATACTAAAAAGCTACCAGCAAATATTTGAGACTGACCTGCATGCACTAACACTAATCAGGAGGAAGCATTATTGCCCCCTGAAGCCTTCCCTGTGTGATACTCACTTTGCCTGAGTCAAAATTTATCCCTCTACATTTTTAAAAAAGATTTATTTATTCATTTGGAAGGCAGAGTTGGAGAGACGGAGAGAGGGAGAGGGAGAAAGAGAGACAGAGAGAATCTTCCATCCACTGGCTCATTCCCATATGGTCACAATGGCTGTAGTTATGCTGGGCCAAAACCAGGAGCCTAGAACTCCATCCAGTCTCCCATGAGGGTTGTAGGAACCCAATTTCTTGGGCCATTTTCTGCTGCTTCCCCAGGCACATTAGCAGGGAGCTGGCTCAGAAGTAGAGCAGTAGGAATTCAAACTGGCACCCATATGGATGCCAGCAGCACAGGCAGTGGTTTAACCCACAGCTTCACAACACTGGCAGCAATTCTATACTTTTTTCCATGAAATACCTATGAACTTCTCCATAGAAAAAAGATCCATGAAATTTTTCCATTATTATAATCCTTAAACCCATCTGAGGATGATGACTGTTAAAAGAGAGATATTCTACAAACACAAAAAATTTGCACCACCCAGAGTTTCTGTGTATTGCACCTTGGTAGCCATTGACTATTTCCTATTCCTCACAGGAATGTCCATGTGTAGCTTTAATAGTCTGTGAAGATGTAACAGAAACAACATATCCCTATCTTGAATATGTGTAAATCATCAGAATCCTTAGCAGTAAACAAGAAGTAGCATGGACAGGGGCTGGGAGACGTGGTGAAAATCCCATGGATGTCGCTGTACCAGAGCACACTTTGCAGAACTGGGTTTCAACAGTGAAGCAGAAGGGGAAATTGGCAAGAGTTAAAAAACCAGCGATTTCTCTACCCATTTTCTTGGCTGTTACTGAGCGGTGTACTGTTGGGAATGAAGTTTATTTTCTTTGACTGACTTTCTGATTAATAATATTGCAGTACAGTGATTATTCTTTTATAAAGAATTGAAATTGAAATATGCTAATACATACATACATTTGAACTACACTCATCTCCAATTTGGTGATTTTCACACTAAAATTTGCCACTACTGAGATGATACTTAACAGAAAGCCCATAAAGATACAAGAAATGGAGGTACAAAAATCACATGGGGGCTGGCGCGGTGGTGCTGCCAGTTAAAGCCAGGGCCTGCAACACCAGTATCCCACATAGGAGCCAGTTCGGGTCCCAGATGCTCCACTTCTGATCCAGCTCCCTGCTAATGCACCTAGGAAAGTGGTGGATGATAGCCCAAGTCCTTTGCCCCCTGCACCCATGTGGGAGACCTGGAAGAAGCCCTGGTTCCTGGCTTCAGCCTGGCCTAGCCCCATCACTGCAGCCATTTGGGGAGTGAACCAACAGATGGAAGTACTCTGTCTTTCTCTCTCTGTCTCTAATTCTGCCTTTCAAATAAATATATATTTTAAAAAAATGAAATCTATGTTGTCATAAATGTTTGTCCATGCAAAGCACATGGACCAGAGCCGGTGCTGTGGCATGGTGAGTTAAGCAGCCCCTTGCTATGCCAGCATCTTATATAGAGTGCTGGTTCAAATCCCAGCTATTCTATTTCTGATCCAGCTCCCTGCTAATGCACCTAGGAAAACAGTATATGGTGGTCTAACTGCCTGGGTACCTACCACCCATGTGGGAGACCTGGATGGAGTTCTGGGCTCCTGGCTTCCACCTGGCCCAGCCCAGGTCATTGTGGCCATTCGAGGAGTGAACCAGGTAGCATATGGAAGACTTCTCTCTGTCACTTCCTCTCTCTCTGTTACTCTGCCTTTCACATAAATAAAATAGATGGCAAAGATATGGACCATTTGACTTGATAACTGGAAAATTATAACCAAGGATACTGTTTCTCTTTATAATTATCTGAAAGTTTTTGTATATTATTTATATCTCAAACAAAAATTTAAAAATGTATTCAGAGACTAAAAGCATTGATAGCCAATCCACAGTAGATCATTATAAGTAAAATTCATTGAACCAAGCTATTTTTCTCATAATGAATTATGATGGAATCTTTACCTGAAAAATAACTTACATGTCTCATTAACCCCAAACAAAGAGGTAATAAAAGAAGGGCAAAACGAATAGCAGCCCCAAGCTTAACTAACAGAATAGCAATGCGTAAAAGAGGTATCACATTCTCTCCCTAAAATCATCACAGTCTGTTAACTTAAAAGTAGAACTAAGAGCAATTTGATGCCAAAGACAATTTATAAATTAAATTCATAATTGGTCATGTGAGAATCAAGTACACTAAATGTCAAAAAAGTACTTCTGAATCCACTATCCTCTCATTTCATTTGTTCTCAGGATGATTGACTAAATGAGACACATTGGTGATGCCATGTTTATTTTTAATCGAAACAACAGTTGGGGTGTCTGATCAATTCAATTCTTGATCTTTTATAGGGAAATAGAGGATACACAGCCTGACCAAACAAAAATCACTTGCTACTATCATCTTGCTTCTAAAATCCAACTCTTCACATGGAACACATCCACACCATACATATTAAAACATTCAGTCATATAAAGCATTAGAAATTACTGTAACTTATTTAAAAGCACCTTACTACACCCAAACCATTTCCTTCTCAAAACATTTACATACAGAATAAGCACATATCCAGTTATTTCTATCAACATAGGATTGCAGTAATAATAATTCAGCCTCAAGTGGATTATATTCCTGATCTATTCAGTTGGAATGATTAAGACTAAAATAGACAACTAATCCTAAGTTTTTCTTTCTCATCATACTGTATTGTCATAGACATGCAAAACTGGTACACAATATAGTGCTATTCACAAGGCTAGAAAACAGCTAGAACTGTGCTCAAATACCAATACATCTTCTCATTAAAGCAAAGACAATATTGCCTCCCATGCACATTCATTACTGCCTTTTAATGATTCCAAGCTACCTAGATGAAAAGTTTTATTGAGGGCAGGTCAAGGTAGCACATAGGCTTTCGTATTTATTCACTCTAAGCTCTGATCCTCTCAGTGATAAAACAAATGCAAACTCATCCTGGACTCTATAGTGGACCCACTCTAATCAAAACCTTTATCAATTTTCTTGGTTTCAAGGAAGATTTCCTTTTTATCACTGTCAGTGTTAACTAAAGAAATCTTGCCCAATAAGCATTCCAGATAATATGCTAGAGAAAAATAATCCTAACATAAAATGCAATAAAAAACCTAGTGGCTCAGAAGTTAAAGGACCCTTAATTTTAACAATATTGTTGATTATAACCAATGTAAAGTTACCTAAGCAAGCACTCTGAGGCACACAGTTGTCATATGTATCTTTATCATGGGGACTAAATGTCTAGAAGTTTGCTGCTGATAGCAATGCTATTAAGTGCATAAAACTGACAGATCTGATGGTGGCCTCCCCCAAAAAAATCCTGAAATGGAATGATGTATTTAATGGATGTAGGACACCAGAAAATAAATCCATAAGCAATGTCATAGAAATAACACAAAGTAAAAAAATACTGTAGGCTAAGATTAAAAAAAAAAAACTAGAACTGTTTAGTTAGGGGAAAAAAATCACTAAAGCACATACAGTCACACCAGCACGTTCAGTCTTGTCACAGAACTGCAAAGTGGACTGTTTCCAATATCTAGAATGGGATATCCTTAGGTAATTATTATAACCCAAACGTTTAGGGAGTCTATAAGGAAAAGATCCTAAAAATTTCACATGTAACAGACAAAATCTATAGAATGCCCAAACTCGGTATTATTATTGATGACAGATCAACCTATGTAAAATCAGCAGGAAAGAGGTGAGTCTTCATTTACTTAAGTGGGTCTCTACCTATGGATCACTTGAAACTGTCAGGTCATCATTATGTATGGAATGGAATCCTTGGTGATCTGAGGAATCCATGAGGCCACAAAGTGGATATAAACTCTGATGTAGGGAGAAAAATAAAGCAAGCCAGAAGTTTCCCTTTTTTCAAGAAAGGGAAGAAATCCATACCTTTCTGTACACCAGCATGTTGGGTGATTCATCTGCCACACCGTTGCTGCTCTGTCCATAATTGTTCCCCTGGGCCATGTCAGCCTAATCTTGGTCGCTCAGGTGTAAGAATTATCAGGCTGCCCTGCAAAGGGTCAGACAGACTTCAGTGAGATCCTAGCAGCGATGCTTACTTACAGGGTTGACATCATTCACAGCACCCACCCCACACGGAGCACACCAAAGCTAGCTGGAGCAAGTGCCACAGGACACAGATTTAAACAAACAAAAATGAATTTACACCTCTAGTATCTCCAGGGACTGTAAGAAATTATAATCTATCGGTTAAAAATAGCCACTTGCCTATGTTTAGGCTGACTTCAATTTCTAAGAACACATTTTTTCTCAAGTGTTTGATGTTCATGGCAAAAACCTGGGGTTACCATTTCTGTCGTACACAGAGTTCTCCTCTCTCTCAGCACTTGTCTCTCCACTTGCTGATGCTTTCCCAAAGGGACGACGGGCAGCCCCCGGGGCATTACACTTACTCCCAGGTGTCTGTCTGGGGTCCCCACACGCGGGTGAAGTGGAGAGGCCCGTTCCCGGTGTCATTCCCCAGCCCATGTGCGTCCTTTGCGATCCCCCTGGGTCTCCCACACAGAACCAGGGTGCACGCTGCGCCTACTTTCACCTGCCTGCGCCGCCAGCCACTGAATCCTCTCTTCTCACCAGACTCCGCTTCGGAACCGAACCCTGCCTAATATTTGCTAAAAGACACCAGAGTAGGTCCCGAAAGAAGTGGAGAAAGGTCAAGCCTTCAGTCAATTTCCAGGGTCGCCATGGGTGAAAATCTAACTGCCAAAGCAAAAGAGCAACCAGCCTAAGAGGAGAAAACAGAGGCTCCCGGCAGCAGCAGCAAATGGCAGGCGAGCCCGTGCCCCACGTCGCGGCCGCCGGCTGACGGGCAGCAGTTTCAGCACTGTGGACCGCGGCGTGCGCTCGGCGCCCGAGCCCAGCCCCGGCGCGGGGCTCCCGGGGGCGGTCGCCCCGCGCCCGCGGACGCTCCCGCAGCGTCCAGGGAGGACCGGGTGCCGGCCAGGGGCCAGGCGGGCTCTGGCGAGCGCCGCCTCCTCCCCTCCCGCCGCCCCTATTTACCTCCTCAGCCAAGGTCACGGCCCCGCGGCGTCTCCGCTCCCGGGCGGAGTACTGGGTGCAGGCGGTGTCAGCTGGCGGCAAGCGGAGCAGCGAGGCAGGGCAGCTTCATCACACTCGGCGGATGCGGATTCCGCGCCGCCCCGGCTCGTGCTGCTTGAGGCGACCGCCACCCTCACCACCGCCCGTGCACAGGCGGCGCCGGCAGCCGCCGCTCGCGCCCGCTCCCCGGGGCCGCCTCACTGGCTCCCCCCTCCCTCCCTCCCTCCCTCTCTCCCTCTCTCCCTCCTCCTCCTCCGCCTCCTCCTCCTCCTCCGCTGCTCCTCCCGGGATCTGGGACCAGCGGAGCGCGCGCGGGAGTCGAGACGCCCGGCCCGTGCGCGCGACTGGGAGGAGGGAGGAGGCGACGGTCACGTGGGGCAGGGGCGTCCGAAGGTGCCGGCTCGGATCGGCTCGGCGCTGGGCCGCCGCCACTACGCCTGGGCCTCGCGGCTTCCCCACCCTAGTCCCGCAGCCGCCGGCCCCCGCCCCATACACCGCGCCCGCCCGGGTGTGCGCGCCGCTGAAGGCCCCCAGACCGGAGCTGTATGCCGAGTGTAAGCCGGAAAGGGAGGAAGGGCCCCGGTGATGGATGGGTGGGTGGGTGGCTGAGGGGATGGGTAGATAGGTGGGTACCAGGCTGGTTCATCACGTGCCTGACGACTCCCCTGGCACCACCGGGGAAGCAGATGATTGATTAATGTTATGCTTAAATAACAGATACCGAAACGTCCTAACAGTGAGAGGAATGACCAGGATCCGATGAATTATTCAGCTACCTGCCCCTCCCCCCACTCCCACCCCATTTGCCTGCCTGCGGCTGTCACAGCTCCCTCCTAAGTTGGAGAAAGGGGAAAAGCTTTGGAGGCTGCCAATCGGAGATGAAAAAAATCTTGCCACCTGTGAAAGTGGAGGAACGTCCCAGTGCTTGGCTACTGCTTCCACCAGAAGGTGCTGAGAGGGATTTTCCTCTTGTCCATTGTCCTCATCCCATCCTCCAGCAGTGCTCAGGGAGGGTCTGGGGTACTCACAACACCCACCCCCACCCCCGCGCGCGCGCGCGCACACACACACACACACACACACAGCAGCCCCCAAATTCCTCAGGTGTTGCCACTAGTTTTCCTGTAAGGCTTAGAAGAACATGAAGGAGAAAAGTCGCTTTTGCCTGTATTCTAGAAAAGCGATCTGTTCCTCCGGCTTTCAGGGCCAGGCTTTGAGAAGCTGTCAGTGCACCTCAGAGTTTTCCTTCCTGGGGAAGTGAATCAAGCCAGCCTTTTCTTAACTCTGGGTCTAAGCAGAGTCTGAGAAGCTCAGGCCTGGAATTCAGCCTTCCCCTGGGGCCATGTAGACCTGATTTCCCCAAGCCCACCCAGGCCCCAGTCAACTTTATCAAGAAACAAATATTTATCTAACTGAACCCCTGTTTTCAGGTACCAGGAAGCAAAGATCATTATCCCAAACTACTTGCCCTGCACCCTAATCTGACCCCTCCCTCACTCTTCCCCAATTCCCCAAACCATTCTATTGTACTCTCTCAAATGGATAATTCCCTTTGTTTTCAACTTCTCTGAATATTCCCTTCCATTCTTTTTTTCTTTTTTTAAGGATTATTTTACTTGAAAGAGTTACAGAGGAAGAGAGAGGGAAAGAGATCTTCCATCCACTGATTCACTCCCCCATATGGCTGCACTGGTTGGGACAGTGCCAGGTTTGAGCACTGCTTTCCTAGGTGAATTAGTAGAAAGCTGGATTGGAAGTGAAGCAGCCAGGACTCCATCCAGCACTCACGTGGGATGCTGGTGTTGCAGGCAGTGGCTTCAGCTCTGTGCGGAAGTGCTGGCCCCTTCCTCCCATTCTTGCTCTAGCTACTTCTTCCCCTTCAGCCTCTTATTCCCTTTGCTCATTTTACTCTTAGGGATTGACATGATTTGCATTAATTAATTTGGAAAGAAATAACTGGGCAAGCCCATTCAGTTTTGCAATTTCCTTGTTAGCAGGGAAGTACCTGAAAGAAGCAGGTTTTCTCTGTTGCATCTCTAGAGATTCTATCTTCAGGGAGAACTTCCTAACAGAACTGAGCCAACTGACTTTACATGTGCATATGTGTAAACTTGTCTAGATGTGTATATAAATATATAGAGGCTTCAAAAATCATGTAAAATAGGATTAAAGGGTGGAAATAAGAACATAAATCTTATTTTTCAACATAAGCTTCATCAAATTTAAAACAGTTTTGTAAGCATTTAGTGCCTTCCCATAGAACTGAGGGTCCTGGGAATTCAACCATACCAATGCACTTTTTTTTTTTACATTATTATATGAAGAAAAAAGGGTGTCCTTGAAATATTTTTTTTAAGATTAAAAAACAAAAAGAAGTCAGAGAGCCAAATCAGGACTCTAAGGTGGATACCCAGTGATTTTCCATAGAAGCGCTCACAAAATCACCTTTGTTTGATGTGAAGAATGAACAAGAGCATTGTTGTGGCAGGAGACTCTGTGATGAAGCTTTCCCAGGTGGGTTTTGGGGTTTTGCTGTTTGTTTTTTATTTCTTTTTTTATTTATTTGAAAGACAGAGTTACAGAGAGAGGTAGAGACAGAGAGAGAGATCTTCCATCCGTTGGTTTACTCCCCAGATGGCCACAACGGCTGGAGCTGCGCCAATCCGAAGCCAGGAGCCAGGAGTGTCTTCCAGATCTCCCACATGGGTGCAGGGGTCCAAGGACGTGGGCCATCTTCTACTGCTATCCCAAGCCATAGCAGAGAGCTAGATCAGAAGAGGAGCAGCCGGGACTAGAACCAGCACCCATATGGGATGCCAGCGCTTCAGGCCAGGGAGTTAGTTAACCCACTGTGCCACAGCTCCAGCCCCATGTTTTTTATTTCACTAAAGCTTTGACTAACTTTCTTAAAATGCTCTCTTAAAAATCAGATGTTCTTTCTGGTGCTTTAAGAATTCAACTAGCAAGCTGCCTTTGGTACCCAAAAATCTGTGGCCATGACCTTCACCAGACTTGACCAGACTATCCTGCTTTGTACCACCTCCACCTCTTGGTAGCCATTGATTTGGTTGTGATTTGTCTTCAGGATTTTACTGGTAAAGCAATATTTGATCTCTTGTTATAATTCTTTGAAGAACTACTACAGAATCTTGATCTCACTTGTTTAGATTTCCTTTGAAAGCTCTGTTCTTTACTGTGGCTGATCTGGCAGCAACAGTGTTGGCACCCATGGAGCAGAAATTTTGCTCTATTTTAGTTTTTAGGTCAGAATTGTGTAAGATGAACCAATTGAGATGTCCTCAGTTTATCTATTGTTCCTGCTGTTCATTGTTGGACTTCAATTAGTGGATGAAGAAGATTAATTTTTTCTCTGCAAGTTTATGTAGATTGTCTCTGCAGGCTTCATCTTGAACATTTTGTCCTCTCTTAAAATAAGCTATCTAGGCCGGCGCCATGGCTCGGTAGGCTAATCCTCCACCTACGGCGCCGGTACCCTGGGTTCTAGTCCTGGTTGGGGCACCGGATTCTGTCCCGGTTGTTCCTCTTCCAGTCCAACTCTCTGCTGTGGCCCAGGAAGGCAGTGGAGGATGGCCCAAGGGCTTGGGCTGTGTGCCTGCATGGGAGACCAGGAAGAAGCACCTGGCTCCTGGCCTCAGATCGGCATGATGTGCCGGCCACAGCGGGCTGGCTGTAGCGGCCATTTGTGGGGTGAACCAATGGAAAAAAGGAAGACCTTTCTCTGTGTGTGTGTGTGTGTGTGTGTGTGTGTGTCTCTCTCTCACTGTCTAACTCTGTCTGTCAAAAAAAAAAAAAGTTATCTATTTGTAAACAACTAAATTCTTTGGGACATTGCCCATAAACGTTTCATAAAGCATTGAGGATTTTTTCCATTTTTCCTTCCAAGCTTTGCCATGAATTTTATGTTTGCTATTGTCAACAGAATTTATATTATTCTGATAAAGGCATTTCCAGAATGATGTCTTACCCTTCTTAGTGTCTTAAACCAGATACTGTTCTGACATGTTGTAACAAGTTCGTTTCAGTTTCCATGCAAACTGTTTTTAATGCATACATTAATTTTTCCATAATATGAATTTTCATGAACTATTTTAGACTCCTCATATATTTTTAATTAATTTTACTTGACATACTGTCCACTTATTGCTACCCTATTTTTTTTTTTTCGCCTTTCCAATAAAAGTTCCTTTTTCCATTCTATCTTAAATCAATTCCATTCTGTAATGACTTCCATGTTGCCAAAGTACTGGTCAGTTCTCAACTGCCATGTTAACTGACTTTAAATAAAAGTTAAAATAGATACCACCTGCTTTGGAATTTGGAATATATTAAAATAAGTTCTCACAAACTTTTTACGTTAGACTCTCTGGACACCATGCTCTTATCTCTAGCTACATGACGGTCTGGTTTCTGGTTTTTCAGTCTTTGTTGCTGGTTCTTTGTCTGTTTGATCCTCAGCTCCTGGATTGTCTTGAATCTAAGTCTTTGACCCTTTTCCTCTCACAATTAATGTGTATTCTCTAATTGAGCTAATTCAGCCTCACACCTAAATATTTTCAGCACTATCTAAATACTAACAACTCCCAAATTTTAACCTGTACGTATCCCTTGAAATCCAGTGTGTCAGCTTCTCCCTTTATTTCTCCACCTGAACAATCTAATTCCTACCTGATTCAGTTTCATGGTAACATAGATATTGTCCATTTAGTTTACTGCTATGTATCTTGGGCATAGTCTAATTCCTAACCTACCATAAGTGAGCAGTAAATATACACTAACTGAATGAATGTGTCTAATAACAATAGTTTCATAAGTTATTTTATATTCTGTAATCAATTTTTCACATTAGTATTCATTCAATCCTAACTTAGAACCATACAGAGATGGTTATAATTATCTCTTTTACATCAACACACAAATAGGGAGAGAGAGGATCAGAAAGGTTGAATAAACTGCCCAATGCAATTGACATAACCAACAGTGGCTGTAGTGGTTTTCACCATGTTAACTTATTAGATGAAACTCTGTTTCCCAGGATCCTCTTGTCTGTATGCATGTGGCTGCAGGTGGCCAAAGGAGGAATTTGTGTATGTTTTGGGAAACAAGGAAAAACAGCATATGTTTCTCTCTGGAGGTCTTTGTGATTTGATGTGTTGACACATGCAAAGTCCCAAAGTGGTTCTCCTCACCAAAACCATCTTCCAGACTTCCAGTCTAATTGGCCAAGTAGCCACACACCCATAATGAGAGACTTAATGTGGACCTGAAGAGGCAGTAGCTATGCAGGAGCTTTCCATTGTATTTTCTACCAACTTACCTGAATAATCCTCCTGCCACAACTAGATGCGCATTTCTTCCTAGATTCCCCTGTAAGTTCTATTTATTTATTTATTTATTTGAGAGGTAGAGTTACAGACAGTGAGAGGGAGAGACATAGAGAAAGGTCTTCCTTCCGTTGGGTCACTCCCCAAATGGTCACAACGGCTGAAGCTGAGCCGAAATGAAGCCAGGAGCCAGGAGCCAGGAGCCTCTTTCTGGTCTTCCATGCAGGTGCAGGGGCCCAAGCACTTGGGCCATCTTCTACTGCTTCCCCAGGCCATAGCAGAGAGCTGGATTGGAAGAGCAGTAGCGGGACTAGAACCAGCGCCCATGTGGGATGCTGGCACCGCAGCTGGAGGATTAATCTACTGCGCCATGGTGCTGCCCCTCCCCCGTGTGTCCCCACCCCCTCCTGTAAGTTCTAACTTGCTAACCCACCAAAGGTCTCAAGATGTCTGATAGTGACGTTCCTTAATGCCCCTTCTGGAAAATAACTTTTTCTGCTTTCTCTCTGATTATCTAAGTCTTTATAGTTTTAATATATTTCAAATTCCATTGTACTCACAGTGTTTCTGCTTCCATGACCAAGTTGCTGGCAGAACTCAAATCCAAGTCTTCCAGGACCTTTTCATTATTCCACAAGAAATCCAACTTAGGAAGGTAAGGCTTACCTATGTATCTAGTCTTACATAGCTGTGGGTTAGTAAAGAACTGAAGGAGAAACAGTATGAGCTGTAGACAAGAAATGCTGGAACCCACTGGGAAAAGTGCTAGTATAAAACTACCATTTTTTAATTGAATTCCTGCAACCTCTAAACTAATAACAAATAGTCTCACCATTTCTGACAGAATTCACCCTATAAGTTACATGAAGAAACCAATGCCCTAGTTAGGACACCTGACCATGATCATATACCTTCCAAATGTCAGAAGCTAGACTCAACCATTCCTCTGTGACTCTAAAGCCCTATGAAGAAATTATGCAGAAATGCCTCCTAGCGACAGGATGAGTTTGAAAACATTCAGGTGCCTGTCATTCTAGTCTCTGTATACTACGATACCTGCCATTCTAGTCTGTCCCATTGCCCCGCTACCTTTCAGCCCTCCATAGACCTAATGCACACCTATTGTCTGGCCAGTTATGACTGAGGATTATTTATGTCTAGTTACTGTTGCCAGGCAAATATCAAGGAGGAAGATTCAAGCAATGGCATATATTTCACCACTTTTTCTACTGTTATTGTTAAGGCTCATTAGACAACTCATAATTTGGTTACTGTGTATTGGAAACAAAATTACTTTCATCACCTTAATGTCTCCAGGACTCAACATTTTTCAAATACACACAGGAAATTAGACTAGATCACCTCCCAAAACACATCTGGGTCTTAGAACATAGATTTTAACATTCTATTTTGTACTTTCTGCTGTGTAGTAGGACCTTTATACAGTAAACAGGCAAAAAAGAGGTGGGAGAGGAGACATGGATATTGTATTTTTTTCTATCACATGCTTTCAAAACCATGTAAGTACATATTCCCAACCATCATTACTCAAAATGGATTTTATTCTTTTCCTAGCAAACCCTATATTTCTGTGACATTTTTGTCAAATTAAATTATAAATTATAATCACATATCCATTTTTCAGGCTATATAGAACTTAGAATAGCAGTTAGAACACCTGTAAGCTCACCAAAGTAATGAAATTCAGCTCAAACAAAGACATCTAAAAGTTTTTCTTTTTAGCTTCAACAGTCTTACTTTGGAAAAGAATTGAATTTTATTTATATTTTTGGAATACAGGAAATGATGTCTATTCTTGCAAATCACTAAGTATACAGAAAACTCTTGTTGTAGACCTACATTTTCCCTTCTTTAATTCAATAATACTTATTCAAATATGTATTGTATATGAAGCATTATATTTCTATAAAGAAGATACAGAAATATAGTAGATAATTTCATCCTCAAGGACTTTCTAGTCTTGTTTACAAGATTAAAACTTTCTTCTTTTTTCTCACAGTTAGCAACTGGTTCAAAACTCCTAAAACTCATTTCTACAATTTCTCAGCAACTCTTCTGCTCTTCCTGTGTGAGCTGTGACTGAATCTATCCTGGATGAAGGCCTTGACCTAACTGGCTTCTCTGCTTGCCTCTCTTCCCATATGTGGCTATTCTCAGCACAGCCCCAGAGTGATCATGTGCAAGTAAGTTATGTTGATTTTCTACTTAAAATCCCTAGTCCATGCAACTCAAAGTGAGAGAAGCCTGTATAATGCTATCAAGGCTGGTTGGTGCTACTCTCCTTCTTACTCGCTCTGATCCAGCTACAGTGCCCTCGTGGATTCTTGGAACACTCTAGGTGTGCTACCACCTCAGGGCATTGCACTGGAAGCAGCCTTACCACTGCTTTTTTCCTCAGTTATTGCTCCCTTCCTGTCTTCAAAGTCTTGACTCAACTGGTTCCCTCTTGGTGAGGCTTACTCTTATCTTGTGCAAAATGATATATTCTATATTCCTCTTCCTCCTTACACTGAGTCCTTTGCACTGAGAGTTTTTTTTTTTTCTCTTTCTAACATACTGGTCAGTTTGCCTATTGACTATGTCTATTGTCTGTCTCCCTGTATAAGAATTCAAGTTCTATTATGTCAGGGATTTTTACTCTGCAGTTCACTGCAATAACCCCAATGCACAGAGCAGGATCTGACATATAGAAGGCCTCCAGTAATTATCTGGAGGATTTATGGAATGAATGAGTCCATGAGCATGATTCTATGTCAAACATTGAGTAGATTGGAAAACCCAATCGACAACCCCGAAGTGAGCTGAATTAGTTTCCACAGTGGATGGAAATGATCTACCCTTCAAACCTGTTTTCTATGTGTCATAAAGAGAAAGAATAATTTTTTTCCCACATAACAGAGGAATGCTTTGAGAACTAATTAAATGGTAACATGGAGAAAGCATTTTGATTTTCTAAGAGAAAGCACTTTGTTAATTTGAGGTTTCTATTGTATGAAGGAATTCTAAGTGACACAGGGGCAAGTACAAAGACAAGAACAATGTTAAAGGGATTATGCTGTTCACAATGCTACACTGACATTTTACAGGATAATTGATTTAAGCATGATATAAGCAGGGTGGAAAAAGAAAATGGTTTGAGAAATCCTACCCCAAATGACAGGTTTTCAAGAAATACCTTCTTCTTTGTAATGACTCTCAATTATTTAGAATATAATACCTTCTTTAATGAATCGTTCTCCACTTTTACCATCCTTTTGTCCATTTTGTGGCCGTTTTCCTGCTAATTAGAACTTCCAGGCCAATGTGAGAGGACCAGCAAAGATAAAGAAGTAGAAACTAAGAATTGTACTTATCATGAACTTATTTTGTGTTCCTTCCTGGAAATGTTTAAACTTGATCTAGAATACTTTTACAGTTATCCAGTTTTTAGAAGTTACACTTTTTTCAGTTAATTGAGCAGTATTGTGAGTGAGCCAGTGTGCAAGCTGTGGGTCCAAGGAGCACAGAAAGTGATGAGATTTTGTTCCTGCCCGTTCTACAGATTGGCATGCTAGACAAGGTATCAAAACATCTGAATTTTCACCCTGACTCCCCTGCTTAAAATCAAGGCTACATTAGGCAAGCAGCTTGATCACTCTAAGCCTCAGCTTCTTTAACTGTGGACAAAATTTCTACCATGATTTGTTTAGCTCTGCTGCAAAAATCTTGCTACTCCAGAATGTGGTCACAGCCCAGGGGGCTGAATTGGAATGATACCATCAGATTGGAGATAGTGTCCCAGCAGAAGAATTAAATGTTTAGAATAAGCCATCCCTGGGGCTCTCACCAGCAGACTCTTTTTAAAGATTTAGTTATTCATTTGAAAGAGCTAGAAAGAGAGGGAGAGAATCTTCCATGTGTTGATTCACTCCTCTGATGGCTGCAATGGCCAGGGCTGAGGCAGCAGGAAGCCAAGAGCCAGGAGCTTCATCTGGGTCTCCCATGTGGGTGGGTGGCATGGGCCCCAAGCACTTGGGCCATCCTCCACTGCTTTTCCTAGTCCATTAGCAGGGAGCTCGGTCAGAAATGGAGCAGCCATGACAGGAACTTCCACCTATGTGGGATGCAGGCATCACAGGCAGAGGCTTGATGCCATACAGAGTTTTAAATTAGATCAGGAATATCTTCCAGATGGACAAAAACAAGGAAAACACAGCAGTATTTCAGATGGGTTGGACAACATGTGCCTAGTTATAGAAGCATGAATAAAGGTGAAGGTTTGATGGACAGCAACAGCTGATGTCACTGGTTTCAAAAAGAGGGAGTGGCTATCATTGGAAAGGAAGCTGGTCTATAAATTGGTGCCATATCGCAAAGAACCTACAGTCCGGACTTGGAAGCTTAGATTTTAGCCAATTAAGAAGTGGATGTGTTCTGGACACTTTAAAAGGAAAATGATGGACACTAGCCCAATAAGGGTCCACCAAGCATGTGTCATGCCAGACCAGCTAAATTTTTCTCATTCAGTATGATCTCTAGACTGGCAAGAGAGTAGCATACTAAAGCAATAGATATTATTCATCAAGGCATTTCACAGATTATTTTGTGTTAGTTTTGTAATCTTGATAGTAATATAGGAGCTAGAAAAACAATTATCTGGACTTTTTTTAAAAAAATATTTATTTATTTATTTATTGGAAAGTCAGAGTTAGAGAAAGAGAATGAGCACTGATTAATTGACCAGAACACCCCAGAAAGGAAGACTTCATGGGGAAAATTAACTGTCAGAATTTCTCTGTTGTAATTGGTCTGGGCAAAGAGACTCAAGCAAAAGAACAAATTGCCCACTTGTGAGTATCAAATTTATGAATGGAACAAAGCTATGAGGAACAGACAATGCACTGTATAATGGCACAGGCCCCAAGGGGATCTGGGCAGGCTGAATGGATGGGCTGAACCAAAGGAATGAAATATAATAAAGATAAATGTTAAATCAAGCCTTATACTTAGATCTGTGCAATCATGTGAATGTCTGTGTCTTCCTAGAATTCATACATTGAAATCCTAACCCCCTTAAAGTGATAATATTAAAACATGAGGCCTTTGGAACATGAATGGGATTGGTGCCCTTATAAAAGAAGCCTAAGAGAGCTTGTTTGTCCCTTCTGCCATGTGAGGTCACAGTGAGAACACAGTGGACTATGAGGAAGCAGGCCCTTATGGGACACCAACATATCAAGTCTATTGGTACATTGATTCTGAACTTCTTAGTTTCTACAACTGGGAGAAATAACTTGTGTTATTTATAAGCCACCTAGTTTGTGATATTTTTATTATAGCTATGAGAATAAAGACAGTGGGAGAGGGCTGGATTAGCACTAAGCACAGTATGGACAAGGTAGATTATATCATCTCAAATGAAGAAAACATTTGATTTTTGCTGTTTTTTTTTCATAGTTGAAAGCAAACACAATATTGTTCAAAAAGAGGGTATGTCTGCCTACCCCCAAAAGATAATGTACTTCCAAATTGCATTATTAGAAATTTAATAGGGAAGATCCAGCACTGTGGTATCATGGGTTAAGCCACCACCTGCAGTGCTGGCATCCCAGACGGGCTCCTGTTCAAGTCTTGGCTGCTGCTGTTCCACTTCTT